CAGCCTGAATTGTTCTATGATTCTATGATGTTCTTTTAGTGGACTACTTAAAATGTGTGTCTGATACCTACCAACTTGACCCACTTCATTATCAGGCACCTTCTCTGGAGGAGAATTTCTTTTAGTATTTTGTAACAGTGAAAGATATGGCAGCTAATACCGCCCTTCTACCTCCATTTTTAAATTAAAAAAGCTAGATGAAAAAATCCTCACTGAGATGTATCTAAAGAATAAATTTACTCTCAGCATTTTGTAGAACATTTAAAAATGAGAAAAGTAGCGGAGTTTGAAAACCTGTAGGATCATTTCACTTGTGGCTTGAGGACTCAAGACGAATCATTTAAAAAAACTCTTATATTTTGAATACCAAGTACTCCCTATGTTTTAACAATGTCTCCTTCTTTAAGGGAGCTGGCGTATTCTATAGGCTGACTTAGAGAATGAGTTACTCCATTTATCAAGTTTTGATTCTTCCTGATTTTGTTTTAGTGTTCTGAAGAAGAAGCCATAGGGACAGTATCAGAATAAAATGTCAGGGATTAAAGCTGTCGGAACACCTCCACAAATTTGTGGTTTTAAAATTTACTCCTTTTCTCCTTACTGATAGAATGCAGCAACTTTTGAAGATATTGAGAAACCAGCATCAACTTATCAGAAGACGAAGCCAGTAGAAGCTGGTAAGGCATTGGCCCCAAATCCATTCTTTGGAGGTGCTGATGTTCAAAATCCCAGGATATTACTGTTGATGTAGCAGTGCTGAGTAAGAATCATCTAGAGGGAACTGTTGTATTTGCAGTTCTCTAGCAACCTCAATTACTCTCTCCCTCCTCCCTTTAGAGGTTGTTTTGGTTTGGTGGGTTTTGTTTGGATGGTTGGGGTTTTTTCCCTTTTTTTCATCAGAGTTGAGGAAAGGAGAATAAAAAGCATCAGAATGGAGAAGAGACTGAGTAGGGGAGTGGGGTGATGGAGACCATACCATGAGAGAGAGGAAGGAGACGTGTTGCAGAGGTTTTAATATAAATGCGGTGCACAAGAGATTTGGTCTTGGAAGGGGAGAGGGAGGAAGGAATAGAAGGGCTTTCCTGAAAGGGCTGTGAGCTCAGAGAGCAAAAAAGCAGAAAGGCGTTCACTCAGATGTTTGTACCAAAAACTAGTTCCAGGCTGCCTTTGTACAGAACCTTAAACAGGAATATTTGACTTCAAATTTTTTTGAAATGTTGCAGTTGCTAATAAAACAAAGAGCATCCGAGCTAACTTTGAAAACCTCGCCAAGGAAAAAGAGCAGGAAGACCGAAGGAAGGCAGAAGCTGAGAGAGCACAAAGAATGGCCAGGGAGAAGGAAGAACAGGAAGAGGCTCGAAGGAAACTGGAGGTCAGTGAGATTCAAATCCTGTTTGAGCAGCCTGTCTGGTGTGTTTCAGTGCAGTGCTGGCAGGAAAGAAGAATCTTCTAAGAAAAAATACTTTCCTTCTTTCCAGCCAGGCCTTAAAGCTCTCTGTGTTTGTACCTGTGTGTTACCTGTTTGCGATTTGCACCGTGTGTCTATCAGGCATCAGAGGGATAGGGTAGCACTTAATAGTGTAAAGAGTTTTTTATTTAACCTGTCCCAAAATATGTATGCTAGTCTGGAGCACTTTTTCATGGTGAAAAATATGTAGTACTCAGATGCACAGGAAAAAGGATCTTCCTCATCTTCTCTTCATCGTTTCCACTTGCTACACTGAAGAGACCCTCCCAGAAGAGAATGCTTGTCTGGGACCCTTGTGACTGCTTTTCCTGTCTGACTCTGGGGCAGTTTTCCTATTTCCTTCCTCCTTCTCTCTCTCTTTCTCCTCCTTTGCTTTTGTTTTCCGCCAAAAGTATCTTTCAATGCTAGAGCCACTGTGTACCACCAGCTGTGGACTGCGCGAAAGAAATGTTGCGTAAATCTTGTTTCAGCATCCTCTGTGGGACATCTGGCATCCAGGACAGACTGTCAGATGGTTTCTCAGATCTGTTCAGTCCTGCCTGACAATGAGTGAGGCAGACCCAGCGGCTGGTTTCTCAGATGTGGTAGATACTTCCCCTTAGCAGGATGCTGCTACAGGATGTCAGGGTGTGGTAAAAAACTTGACTCATTAACAAAGAGCAATTGCCAGCTCTCAGAGGCTAAGAGTTCTCACTTTGTCCTTAATTCGCTGCTTCACCTCTTGTGCAAATTCCTCATGAAAGTGTCTCTCTCCCAGGGCATGTGGTAACTGATACCTCATACTGATTTTTTCTACATTTTGTGTATGTATTTTGCTCTGCACTTTTGCTACAAGCAGGTTGATGTTCCTCACGATGCAAGGAGGTACTTCATAGGGTGGCAGCTGTGTCTCCAGGGGCATGCTCTTTATTTTCCTTCTATTTTAACAAGTAGAGGTATCGATATGTTCTAAAACACCATGCGATTTCCTTGCACCACAGCTGCATTTCCACAGGGAGCTGCCGCTGGATGCCAGTGCTCTGGAGATCTGGTCCATTTAGAGGGCAGAGCTTTTCTGCTTTGCTTCTGAGTGATGATGGGGTAGTAATGGTTTAGGAGAGATCCTTGGTCCCTTAGAGGCAGCAGTTGCCCCGAAGTGAGAGGTGTGGTGAGAACAGGACTCTCTGAAGTTCACGTGTCAGCCCTTCAGCACTGAGAGATGAACGGTCTTGCAGTCCTCAGCGAGAAGTTGGAAATCTGCTCTGGTGGCCACGTGAATTTTTCAGAAAGTTGCACAACTGACACAGAAAGCATCGATGCTTCTTTTTCTAAGAAAGTTAGTGTCCAAGCTTGGTCTTGGGTACGACCCTGGGGTTGGCCAAATGGATTGGTGCACGCATTTCTCCGGGTACCTCTGCTGCCAGGCGCTGTGCTTAGGGTAAAGAAGGACATCATCCTGGTGATTCTCGTTGTCCCAGGGTGGCCAGTGAATTTTGGTACTGGGCTGCCTTTGCCTTTCAGTGACTTTGTCAGTTCTCTTGGCCTGACCTGTGTGTCCATCTCACCTCAATCTTGAAACAATCCACTTGGTGCTACAGCTGCTGAAGGACTCTCGGTTAGACTGTTCCTATTTCAGCCCAGTTGGAGCTATTTTTCTAGACGCGGGTTTGTACGCTGAGCTGAGGGGGAGAAGAAGTTCACGTTCTCCACTGGCTTTCTTGTCAGTCCTTTTGGGTGATCATATGCTCCTAAATAAAATCTGTGGATAGAGGATGGGGAATTTGGGCTTTTGTTACCCGTTTCAGCTTTTCATTGAGGTTTCCTCTTGCTGAGGGAACAGTTCTCCAGAAGGTTTAAAATGTAGTAGCACAGTTTCTCCTGAGTCATTGAACGGTTATGTCTTTTTTGTCTTTTTTTTTTTAATATATTCCTTTCTGTTTCAGATATTTCTTTCTTTCTTTACTGTTATTCTGCTGTAAGTGTGGGTTAAATTCAAGCCGTTATGCTCGATTTTTCTTGTGCTTCACCAAAGATTCTGTTGCCTGGACACACATGAATTTTTTTCTTCCAATGTTGGTATTTAAATTTCACCGTAACCAGCTGATTAATGATCTTCCAGACTGAACATCTCCGTGGTTAATTGTGTGACTCTGCAGATGCTGAGGGAGGGAGGACGAAGTTAAGGGGAAACTGAAGTGGCAGTGGCTGCGCTGCCCCTCGCTCGCACGCGGAGCATGAAAAGGGGAGGGATGTAAGCCCACCCCAGCGGCAGGTACTGGAAAGGGGTAGGGACAGGTTTTGACTGAAGTGAACTTTATTTCTTGAAGTGAACTTCCTTGCACAGACAGAAAGTTCTTTCGCTTTAAGTGCGTGGGCACACACACTCCCACAAGGGGAATGTACACATGGGCTGCATTCCCTGTTTACCGGTAATCTTTTTGTTGGTTTTTTGTTTGTTTTGCTTTTTCACATATGTCCCACAGTCAAACGGTGCTCGGGGAGCTCTCCTTGAACTGCTGCTTTGAAGCGGCGGGTGCCTCCTGATTTCGCTCGCCCCTGCTCCCTCAGAGCACGTGGCAGGCTGCTCTTCACATGGACCGTTCCGCTGTGGAGGAAACCCAGCCTGAGGGGGACCGTGCAATTTAAATGTTGGGTGGCAGTTATGCTGTGGCTACCTTAAACTGCCCTCTGGAGTGCAGAGACCCGTTTCCTAGGACAGCTTATTCTAACTGTTGCCGTGTTTGACATTGCTAATGAATTGACATTGCTGAATTTGCCCCCAAACTCAGGTTTGACTTCTAATAAATACTTTACTGGTGCTTTTTTATCTGTAGCATGGGAGTTAAAATTCAGGGAGGACTGCTCACATCAGGACAGGTTTTTTTCCAGAGAGAGCACTAAGCTTTGAATTGTCTTCAAAGCTGTCTCTGTTCTCAAGACATGCTTTGCTTTCTTTGTTAGATGTATTTTTTTCTGCGCTGTGACAAACAAAAGAAAGGAAGAGGTTCATTGTAACGGAGTTCTATGACCATCTCAGGGCCACAATTTCTCCTGTTGATCCTTTGGGGACTTACACTTGAATCACTTAAACAACCAGAGTGTACAGTCTCCCATGACACGTATTCTCTCTTCTTTTGTACAGTAAGGAAGAAAGTTTGGCCCTAGATCCACAGTTCTTTTTCCCTGTGGTAAGGAGAGGCAAAATGAAATAGCTAGCTTACAGTCTTTTTTTTTTTTTTTTTAAGTCCTGCAAGCATTTCTTGCACTATGGGACCCTGGCTTCCTAGTGACCTGCTTCACAGGTGGGATGGCACAGCGTGAAGTGCTTGAGTGCCAGAACACTTGATTCAGATCCACCTTCTTTGTGTCACAGAACACAACAGCAATACTGCTTTTGTTTCTACCACATGTCATTCTTCTGAACGTTCGAATCCCCTTGTTGTCAGTATGCAGGACTTAATTTTGTCCTAGCAATTCAGTCTTTTGCCTTGGCACCTGTTTTGCAGACCTGCAGAAGCTTGCAGGACCATTTCTCATCAAAGACAGTATAAGAGTTGCATAATTAGAACATGCAGGCTTCAGGTTCCTTAAACTTTTGCTAAAATGGGAGCTGAGGCCAGGTAATGAACAGAATGAATATACTCAACACAGAAACCCTGCAGCTCCTGCGGAAATGTGTCAAAGAACATTGGGTGCTCTGTTTTTAATGCATTCATACTGTGCGAGTTTTGTTTCTTCACTTTTTTCTCTTCTGTTTTTGCTCTGTTTCTGAGGCTTTACTGTACAGCCAGTCTAAATCTTCAGGCAGGCCTAATGATCCAGCCAGTCCAGTCCTCTTCTGCTCCCTGCTTGCATCGGATTATTGCAGGATACGCTGTCTATCTGCCTGTGTTGTTGAAGGCTTGTTTCTTGTTCACTGTCAAGACATCAGTGACGAAACCGCACCGAAGTTTTTCTTTCTCTTCAATTTAGGAACAAGCTAAAGCCAAAAAACAAACCCCACCGCCATCTCCTACCACGCAACCGGCTGAGCAGAAGGCACCCTCGAGCCCAGTCTATGAGGTTTGTCGGAGTCACTTTCAGTACCTGTTTTTTTCATCCTGAGTGGAGGAATTTTTTTCACAAAACCCTGACGAGCCTCACCCGTGTTTTGGCAGGACGCGGTTTCCTACGAAGCGCAGTCAGCCTACAAGAGTTCCAGCACAACGTATTCAGCTGTGCGCGAGCCAGAGTCCGGCTACAAAGCTGCAGAGTCGGACTACCAAGAAGCAGCGAGTCAGCGAGAGGCAGAATATGAACCGGAGACTGTCTATGAAGTGGCAGGAGCAGGAGACCATTACCAAGCAGGTAGAGTGTTCTGTTTCTAATAGGAAACCCTTTAAGATAAAAGACTTATTTCCTTGGGCAACAACTTAATGTTGTGCTGATAGCATGCTGTGCTAGTTTTCTCAGTGTCTTGGTCTGATGAGACTTTTTAGCTTCTCCAGCAACAGTTAGGAAATCAAGATATGGCTAGAGCAAGGTTGAAGTTACTTTACTTTTTTGAGATGGAATAATTATAGTGCTCCATAGAGTTTCAGTTCAAAAAGAAATGTAGGGGGGTAACTGTTGCCACCCTGTGTGATGCAGCTCAAGTTAAGAAAGCACAGAGATGGAGATTAAAGGTGTGTTGAGCCAGTGCTGGCCTACCAAGCAAAAAATTCTGTCAAAAATTCTTGGATTTGAAAGGGATGTGACGCGTTCTGTGCCTGTGAGGGAGTGGAATAAGGATGTCTGAAACCAATGAAACGGAAAGAATAAGGTTCTTCTAAATTCCCATTTTTCTTGCCACTTGTGGTTACTAAGTGAGGTGTGAAGAGCAAACCTGCTTGCTGTGGTACAAAAACCTGCAAATTTTAAATAGTCTCTTACACAGAGATCTTGGGCTCCATCGTTGTTCTATCACATTTTACAAAAGTGTTATAAGGCTGATCATTTTTATCTTGTACCGTATTAAATGCCTACTTGTGAACACTTCCTTTCAGGCTTTAATTGTG